CTTGATGTCCCCAAACGGCGTGGTCCTCGACGCGAGGCGACGTCACGACGGCCTTACGACAGCATCTTGCCGTCGCGTAACGTCGTAGTCGACGATGACGTCGTGGCGTCGTCTTAACGTCACGTCGTCGTGAAGTTGTGTATATACGTTATTTCTGACGTCATAATCATAAAAAAAATGTAATATAGTCCTTAAGGGGCTATATTGCCCCTATGACCTTGGTCTGTGTCGTCGCTTGCTTCGATCGCAGCGAAGGTGGCGCAGCGATCAAAGAGGCTTGGATCCATCTGATCGCTTTCCTCATTTTGAGGGGCATCTGGAAGCAAGAGGGGGGCCTGTAGCTCGCCCCACTCAGTCGTTTCTAGTTCACTCGAACCGGAGAGTATTCACTGGACGCCCTTCGCTATGAGTGCGCCGTTCACTGCGCATGCTCAAAACGAGCTTACATTTTTACACCTTTTTCGCATAACCTAATACAAGCGCTTAACTGACGTACCCTCGTCCCGTTGCATTTTTGCATTGCCCGCCGACACAGGGTATAGGCCCGTAGCTCTGAAGCAGAGTTCCTACGGGAGCCAGAGGGGCGCGTTCACCCCCGGAACGCCGGCGTTCCTGCACGGCATGCGGAGTCTGCTCCTCACGTGCCTGAATTCGGCGAATAGCGGCGCCGCGCGTTCGAGGCGCGCGGCGCGCCCAAAAAAAAAAAAAAAAAAAACCAACCCCCCCGAGAGCCAGTGACAAACACGCCAGGTGCGCATCCACTATTGGCCCTCTCTTCCCCCCCCCCCCCCCCCCCATCTTATTCACAACGCTTAAGGAGTATTCACACGAGGGAAAAATACCAGGGATTTCTCTCCGGCACGCGCGCATCACGAGTCGAAAACGCGAAGCTTTTGCACATCGCAAAGCCTGACGTTTTCCCCCGCAGGATGCGCGTGCCGTGGAGAAATCCCAGGGATTTCTCCCTCGTGTGAATACCAATTTACACACGAAGCAGTGGAACGTACGCCGGGGCGCGCGCGACGCCGTCTTTCCTGCACGACACTTGAGCCTGCTTCTCACGCGATCGGATCTCGGCGAATAGTGGCGCGGCGGCACGTGGAAAACAGCCGCGAAACTCCAAGTCCAGGCGAGGAAGTATAATATTTTTGGCTCGCGTTTCGAACGTTCGTCATTACACTTCCCCACTACAGTTTTTTCGTACTCCGTCCCATTGTACGTTCCAGCGTAGCAGAGGCTACGAGATCGAGCTCCAAACCTTCAGAGTACCAGTCAAGCACGCGCGCTCATGCAGTGCGAGCATCGTTCAGGGAAACGTGCTTTTCCAAGCTTCGGTTTCGCTATCACGTAAAGCGAAACCTCTAACCCGTTCAGTGAAACACACGCGCTCGCGGAAGCTATGAAAGAAAGCAGTGCAGATATTAAAGCTAAATGAACGTTTAATGGGGCGCTCGGGCCGTAGGCTGCATTTTTTTATTCTTTAGACGTTTTGTTATCGCGCATTCGCAGATGCTGAGATGTGCTTGTATTCGAACACGGCACGTGCAAAAACGAACGTTACAGCGCCCCGTAGATGGTGCAGCCAGCATAACATGGTCGCCTCTTGAGGACACGCTCGCGCCCCCTGCCCCAAAGCAACGAGTCTATGCAACCGCCAAGGGTATGGGCGAAAAGGCTTAGAAACCGAAGTCGTGCGCGAGTTAGTTCATAATGCTTCTCTTTCCCCTGTTACAAATCCCAAGGTATTTGCTTGTCTGGCTATCACTGCGTTGTCGTCGTGTGCACAAATAATTTTAATAAGAATAAGAACAATCGCGGAAAATGTGCGATGAGCACCGAAAGCTGGAGCGCGAGTGTGGCTGCTATGTTCCACAGAGTTCTGCAAGGATATTGTCCATTGCGAGCGTGAACAGCCAGGGCTTTGTATCCAACTCATCGTCACGTTTATGCTCACGGCTACTTCGCCTACGCCAAGATAATCGATTTCTACCATGTGCGGGTGCCCCGATTAAGTTATCATCGCAAGATTTTGTATTACTCCATGGCACGTGGAGGGTATGCAAATGTGTGCCATTACTCAAGATGCCGTGAGCTTTATGCCCAGATGCGACACGAAATAAAACAATGTAAATAAATAATACGTTAAACTAAAGGTCACCTATAACATAAAAAAGGCCACAGTCCTATCGAGTGTAGACTGGCTTGAGTCGGACGACGTGAACCACCTCGTTTCGCGGTCGGCGTCGTGATTAGGCTTGCATTCCGTCAACCACCACTTCGTAGCTGAGCTCCCCGAGGTGACGAGGTACCTTGTATGGTCCAAAGTGCCGTTTCAATAAATTTTCGCTGAGGCCGCGGCCACTTATAGGCGTCCACACCGAGACCCTCTCTCCGGGCTGGAAGGGAGCGTCCCGGCGATAAAGGTTGTAGAGGCCGGCGTCGACGCGTTGCTGGTCTTAAATCCGGAGTCGGGCGAGCTGGCTGACTTTTCCGGCCCGTTGTGCAACCACCTGGGCGTCGTCACTCCCGTCGTCATGTGGACTGTGGGGCAGCATCGCGTCGAGAATGGTCGTTACCTTGAATGAATACCTAATAGCTTTATTCACCATTCAAATATGATGGTAGCTGAGGAAAAAACTGTACAAGCAGCTTGACTGGTCCTCAGCTCCCCACAAGTACCTGCTGGAGAGGTGTACCATGTACCAGCAGGAAAGGTATAACTCCAGTTGTCTGTTTAACCGCCGTGTTGTAGACGACCGTGACGTAGGGCAAACCTCGCCCCACGTCTTAAGACGTGGGGCGAGGTTTGCCTTACGTCGACGTAGATGTCCGTCATGTCGGCGATTGTCTCGTTTAGTCGCTCCGTCAGCCCGTTGGTCTGCGGGTGGTACACAGTGGTACGACGGTGGCTAGTGTGACTGAGGCGAAGGATTTCTTGGTCAGCTGTGCCATGGACGATGATTCCCGGTAAGGGATCTGGACCCAGGGGGCACCGTGCAGAACAACCATGCACTCGACGACACACGTGTGAGGTAATCGGCTGCCACGATTATCCACCGGTTGCCTTGTGTCGACGGAAAGAATGGTCCAAGCAGATCCATTTCAAGCTGCTGGAACGGTGTGGCTGGAGGCACAATCGCTGCAGGAGTCCCGCCGGCTTGGTCGGCAGCTTCTTGCGCCGCTGACACTCATGGCACAATCGGGCGTAGAAATGGACAGCCTTCGGTAGCTTGGGCCAGTAGTACTTCTTGCGAATCCTAGCGAGTGACCTGCTGTATTCAAAATGTCCAGCTCTAGTACTGTCATATCGTAAGGCCATATCGCCATATCGTAAGGCCACTGGGAATCACATATGCCGCGCTGAGTTGCTGGTGTCGAAGTTCTCTTTGTAGAGTACAGCCTCTACCAGGGCAAAATGTTGGCAAGGTCCTGGAGAACATACTAGGGATTGCGCCTTCTCCACCCTCCAAGTGCTCAATCAGCCCCACGGAGTTGAGGGTCGCCCTCTGGAGTGCTGCCATTTCACACATGCTTACGGCACCAAGAAAAACCTCGTCGTCGTCGTCGGCAGAGCTAGCGGGAGTTGACGCGAAGGGGGCTCTTGAGAGACGGTCGGCGTCGCTGCGCTCGCGGCTGGACTTATACATGACAGTCATGCCGAATTCTTGCTATCGGAGACTCCAGCGAGCGAGGCATCCTGACGGGTCTTGAATGTTGGCGAGCCAACAGAGCGAATGGTGGTCTGTGACCACTCAGAGGTCACAGACCACCACACAAGGGCAAGGCCTTCATTCACAATCGTCGATTAATTGTTCTCAGCCTTTGAAACTGTCCGACAGGCGTAGGCAATTACTCGGTCTGTGCCCTTCTGCAGTTGGACCAGCATCGCTCCGAGTCCCGTATTACTTGCGTCCGTGTGAATTTCGATCTCTGCAAATTGCTAGAGATATCCGAGGATGGGAGGCGTCTGGAGTCTTCGCTTCAGCTCGTCGAAGGACCGTTTCTCCTCTTTTGTCACCTCCAACTTTACGGTTTCTTTTGTGAGATGTGTCAGCGGCGCGGACAGCCCTGCGATATCTTGAACAAACCGCTTAGAGTATGCGCAAAGTCCGTGAAATCTTCGCACGGCCTTCTTGTCGGACGCTGGCGAAAATTCTTCCACGACGCGCGTCTTCTCGGGGTCAGGGCAAACACCTTCATTGCTGACAACGTGACCCAGGAATTTGAGTTCAGCGTAGGCGAAACGACACTTTGTGGGCTTGAGAGTCAGCCTTGCGGTTTTGATTGCGCGAAGCATGGCCTGAAGGCATCTCAGATGTTCGTAGAATGCCCGTGAAAATTCGATGACGTCATTGAGGAAACGAGGCAGCCCTGCCATTTCAGGCCTGCTAGCAAGGTGTCTATATCGTCTACTTGAGTCAATTAGTTTTTCATCTACATCATTTATGTTGTTGTTGTTGTTTTTGTAGTCCGCTTTTAAAATAGCTACGTACGAGAGCATCATCACTCCTCGTCATTCGGAAAAAAATTGCTGGTCCCCCAATGCTATACACATTATTATTTTTACAATCTCTCCATTACAACCTCCCAGCAGTTCTAGATATATGGTTGTTTAATCAGAGAATATATACTTCTGATTTCGAAAGCTGATTTACCTACATGCATGTTCGATCTTTTTAATATATTTGGGTGTTTTTATGTATTTTTTTTATATTTTCTTGTTGTAATTGATGTAGGTATTGTAAAATGCAAAACTAGTTCAGTTTTTTTTTTTTTTTTTTGTCTTTCTTGGAGCAGTTCTTCTTCCGAACCTTATCAAGCTGATTTTAACTGTTTTTTGTCCGGGAGACTCCTCCAGTGTACATCTGAAAAAAAATGAAGCTCTTAACTGTGTACAAGCGACTGATTTTGATCCTTTAAGAGTGTAAATATTAATGCATCCTACCAGGCACAACTGTTTCATTAGTTAATCCGTCTGAATTTTCTCTGGGCTCTTTTTATATGTTCATTAATATATTTATTCAAGATACTCATATACCAAATAATGTTCGGACCCCTCAAAAGCATAGTAAATCAAATGTTGAGAACACAGCAGCTGCTCGAGTAACAAGGCAAGCCGGACAGTGCACTATGATGATTGTTAAATTGTCAGATGGCAATCTTCCTGAGAATCTTTTTGAGATTGTATTAAGGGTAATATGGAGTCAGCGGCGGACAGGGCAGCCTGTGTTGACGATGGCGCTTCGCTTGAACAGTCTGTTTACCAGGCTGTTATCGAAGCACAGAGCTTCCCCGCCCCTCTTGAATTGGGACTCCTGCGTAGACAAAGGGTGAATGCAACATCTGTTAGAATACAGACCTTTTTAATAGTTTCAAGAAGTAAACGAGAGAGTCAAAAAATAAGTTTCGCGCATAGTCTGGGCAATTAATTAACCTCTATTTTCTGTTGTGCACCGCCATTTTCGTTCACGATCGTTACGGATTGAAAGTGAAAATTTCCGAGCTTTCTGCGCACCTTTCCAGTGCTTATAACCCTGCTGAATTCCCTGAGGTATAAAATTCAGGCTCGGCGGTTTGATATTCCGCACAAGAAATGCGACTGCGCACGCTCAAAATTGGCATTCCACAGCGCAGTAAGTAAGGATGGCAGTAAGCAAGGATGGCAGAAAAAAAATTTTCGAAGTGGCTTATGCTGTGACAGGTAGCTGAGGTGATATCGTGCTGCCCTCTAGAGAACTTTGTGTGAAAAGTTTGGAGGAAGAAAAGGCTTTTCCTGCAATTTCAGATTAAGCTTCAGATAAATAGTAACAATAATTTTAGGCACTTAAGACAGCTGAAGTGTGGTTCCCTTGAATTGTGCCTTATTTGGTAGTTTTGAGAACACAGAAAATAGCCCAGAAAGAACACAAAAAACTCGGGCCATGAACGTTCGGTTGCGAAATTATATTTGGATATCGCCCTTGCGACGCACTCTAGAGTAAAGAACCTGATACTTGAGATAACGACGAATTTAGCGCTTTCGATGTTGTTACACAAAAATAAATTACAATTACTATAGCATACGTGAGAATATGTTCATTACTAAAATTGCAGTAGCTTCTATTTTTGTTCGATGTGAAATTGTTAAATTTACGTTGAGGAAAAGTTCGGCTCCTCTTACATCGTGAAAAAATGTGTACTTTCTGTAGAATGTTTCTCAATGATGTATAGAGCCTTACTGCTATAATTGTCCAAAGTAGGCTCCCAATAATGTATGCAAAATACTTACCGAGTGGCTAGACAACGAAACTAAATCACTAGTTACGTGAAAATTAACAAAATAAATGATTTAATACAGCGTTCGAGAGATGCGGGGAACGATAGTTTATTCACCAATCAAGGAAGAATCTCCAAAACTTCTACCTTAAGAAATGGTTTAATATTAACATCAAGATTAAAGAAATAGTACTGTTCTAGCATGACCACATCAAATTGCCATTATCAAGGTCTTGAGTGTACTTGGAACGTTTTGTGGAAGTTTTAGTTAAAGCGGATTGAAGGGGAATTGGCTTATAAAAGAATCTGTAAAAAATAAGCGTCTTTTTTTTCAGATAAACTTGTTTCTTGGGCTTAAACGCCGTCATCAAGATCTATCTTTTCTGACTTTTACATGTGGCATTTTAAGCTCCTAGAAAGGGGCATAATATTTGTGTAATTAAAGGCAGATTTCGGCTAATGATACTTGAACATGATCCACTAAACTGTTATCGAATAAATGAGCACGCTGAATTTCGCGCGATTTAATTTTGCGTTCTTACAGCTGTGGCAATAATACTGCTAAAAAAACAAGAGTGGAAGGGGGAGCCTCTGAAACTTCACCGGGAGTTTAAAATCGGTAATGCATGACATTTAAAAAAATAAACTTTGCATCTTTATTATAAAGGAAAAATTAAAAAACGAAGCACATTCCACACATCACTGGATAGACGTAGGTTCAAAGGAAAGATGTTTGTCCCACCTATGCCTGCTACTTTTCAAGATATGAAACATCGAATTGTGGATGCTATGAATTTAATAACTCGGGACCAGTTGATTCGTGTGTGGCAAGAATATGGCAACCGTTTTGATATTTCTAGCGCAACATGCGGTGCTCATGTTAAGTAGACAGAACCTCGAAGACCATAGAACTTTGAACCAGCCCCTGTACAGCGGTGTTCGGAATGTATTTGTTTTTCTTTTGCATCGTATTCAAAATAAAAATTCAAAATATGCTCTATCTAACTAGCCCTGCATAATAAACCAATCATTGGCGTACAAAAACGACCTATAATTTTTCAACTAAGACTAGCTGACAGTTTCGGTACCGCAGTATTTGTTTTGCTTTCCTGAAAGCGTTTGAGAACCTGGAAAATAAGAAGCTTGTATATTAAAGATTGTCATGATAAACCAAGTTAATCATCATGGTGCTTAACACGTACCATCCGGTTCATTGAGCCCAAGCAGAATGTGGACTTGTCCACTGCAATGGCCCACTTGCTGTGGTCTTCGGTCGTGTCGAAGGCGATGAAACGACTTTGGTCCAGGTTAAGCTTGACAGAGTCCACGTCGGTTACGGTGTAGTTCGAGTTGCAGTCATTGGGCAACCTGTCTCCAGCCCCATTACGCCATGACTGGACCACCAGGTCGTCCTTGATTTGGCCGGTGAGTATCGACGAGTAAATGTCTGCAAGTTCAACATCATGAACAATGTAAATCATGGTAGCTACTCAGATTGGGTTGATGCGTTGACGGCAGTTTTCAACGATCAGTAAATATGGATGCACGGTGGCTGGAACGCGTCTTCGACTTATGTGTTTAGCCTACTATTCCGGCAATGCATCGGAATTGGTTCCCAAAATTACAACAAGCGACGTCACAGGGATTGGTGTGTACTGCTGTTGGATGTCGCGATCCTGGCGGTTGGTAATCAAAGTCCGGTGAAAAGTCCGAACGAGCGCGAGTGCCGCTGTTGTTGGGGCGCCCCACCTCATGGTAACTGAAGTTTCCGTGGACGGTCCAGCTGAGTAGCGACCTGCACCACAACAGACGTCTGACTCATTAAGCTACGCTTCCGTATCACCGCCAGGATTGCGACAGGCGACACCACGACATTTCTATGACGTCATCAGGCGGAAGTTGAGGGACCACATTTAGGGACGCGTTAAACAGCCTATTAAACAGCTCAGGTGCGTGCTAGTAACGCACGAATGTAGTGCTCGATTTTGTACGTCCTTTATCGCTGGCTAGCGCGGGCAACAGATCGGATAAGATTGCTGTGTCAAGGTACACCTGGGACTCATGTTGAATAAGTGAGAAGACGATTACTAGCCTAAGGGATATTGCACTCGTGCCCAAAGAGTGTCTTCCGCTGTCCTCCGGGACGTGACGTAAAAAATGATGGCACTGCGTCCCTCTTGTCTACGGCGGAGCAGCGTCACTAGACTGTGTGAAACTTCCTTCTGGCGCACATAGGCTCGCGACTGCCTGCCTACCATGTGCGTTCGTTTTCAATAGATGAGAGTTTTAAGTTTTGAACTTGAAAAATGTTGATAGATAGAAATTTGCCCCAGACATTGATGATTGGCTTGATTGGGACGCCATATTTTGTTAAAAACATTATGATTGCTTGGTAGTTCAGCGTCCCAGCATTATTTTAAAACACAAGTGTTGTTTAGTAGACACGCCACTCACTAAATAAGTTTTGAAAATTTGCTAGACAACACACTAGAGATAGTGCGCACGATTTCTGCCTAAGGAGTGATACTGATTATCTGTCTAACCCGAACAATATCGCTCTTTTTTTTTTGCAAGTATCTTCAGTGGTTGTTTTTCCTCGAATGCGCCTAAATATAGTGCATATCTTGATCCTGTCTGCTTTGATGTTTGTGCGGTAAACAAAGTCACGGTCTGCGGAATCACGGCGGCTATAAAGAAACTAAAGCCGAAACTGACATCTGGTACACATTATGTGCCTAACTTTATTGTTAAAGGTTGTTTAAATCTTTGTGCGCCTATCTTAGAGCATATATTTAGTATTTCTTTGACGGTGTATTTCCATCTATGTGGGAAGAGTCTATTGTTGTTCCTATGTTCACAAGTTGGGTATCCTTGTTATGCTCTTTTGCAAAGGTATTTGAGATTGTGATACACACACATTTGTCTTTTTATTTTAAGCAACCTATCAGTTCTCATCGGCATGGTTTATCAAGGGACGCTTGATCGAGACAAACCTTTTTACCTTTCTTGATTATTCAGTACCTTTTGTTTGCAATCGCGGTCAAGTTAACATTGTTTATTTTGACCACGCTTTACTATTGCAGGCTTTGCTATTGCAGAAATTGTCACGAAATGGGGCCCCTTGTGTGCTTTTAATATGGCTTGAAAGCTACCTGAGTGATCGTCGCTGCGTTGCAAGCATTTCAAAGTATCTTTTTATCCTCTTTGTCCGTTATCGTGAGTGCCACCACAGGGCTACAATTTGGGTCTACTTTGGTTTCGGATTTGTGTCAATGACCATATCTACTTGCGTGGTAAACTCAGAAATGTCGTTATTCGCGGATGATATCAAGCTCTTTTCGAGCATTAGTTCGATTGACGACTGTGACTTTCTTCAGAGTGAGGCATCGCATATTTTAAACTGGTCTCAGGAAAATTGCCTGATCATTAATCCAGAAAACACTGAGGTGCGGTCTTTCAGTAATAAACGTGAAATTGTGCATTATTCGTACCGCTTGATGACAAATGTATTTTAAGAGTTTTATCGCTTCGTCATCTTGGATTTCACTTTGACACTACTCTCTCGTTTGGCTGCCATGTCACCTACGTTGTTTGTTCTGCATTTAGATTACTAACAAGGATCACTTGATTATAGAAAGTTTGTGAACTATGCTTTTCTCCTTCGTTTATTCTGTTCTCTTATCAGACCTATTCTAGATTTTGGTTTGGTAGTCTGGAATGCGTTCACTGCACATGATGCAGCCAAGATGCAGCCAAACGCGCCTATGCTTCGTCTCATCCTATAATGGACTAAGGGCCAAAGCTACGGACCGCCAGGTCCAATCACGTTCCACGCTAAACTATGACATGCTTAACATTGATTAAGGATGGACGAACAATGCTCCTAATCAAAATTCGCTGCATCCTTTCTATAGCTTCGACATTGCAAAGAGCCTGTATGTCGTGGCTTTCTTTACAATGTAAAATTTATGAGTCAGTCAGTAACGTTCATCGAAGCGAAATAGCAGGCAATTTTTAAGTGGCTCGTGACTGGACCTGGTGGTTTGTAGCTTTTTTTTTATAGTGTATATAATCAATGGCAACTACCTTGGCCGGGGGCATTTTTACAACTATGACCTCCTGCTTGATAAATTAGGCCTACAGTCTGTATTCCTGAGAAGATTATCGCGCGATGTTGCCTTTTTACATGGAATAGTTTACGGGGGATTTGACTCACCACTTTTATGCACAATGAATTTGAGTGTACCGGCTTTTATCCCAACAATCCACACATAATATCCCCAACAACGAGAATGCAGATATCTGTAAACAATCTTGGGCATGAAATTTTTTATATTTTTCATAACTACGTAAATTTCTATAGGCAATTAGATGAGATTATTTTCTGTGGTTAGCAATGCACTGTCGTGTTTTATTGCGTGTTTGTTTTTTTGTTATTGGCATTTTTTTAAATAAGTATTGCTGAGCACGTTTTACAACTGCACAACTGTTTCACTGTGCCGCATTGCAGACCATGATTGGTTGTTTATTGGCACAAATAAAGGCTCTATGAAAATGCTGATGATGATGCCTTTAATGTAATTGTTTTAAGATATATGGTATACTGGGTTTTTTTACAATTTCCTAACGCACTTAAAACAGTTATAATGCCCGAAGAATGCGCAAGCTAATTTATTTAAATGACGGAACGCGGCATAGACATTTCAAAAACAAGTACCGTCGTGGCTGAACGAGGGGTCGGCTGTCTCTATCTACTTTCGGGAGCAATACAGTACACTGAAGTAACTCGTATTTTATGTGCCAGGACGCCTACCGCGACTTCCGGCGAGAAAAACATGGGTTGATTCTATGGTCACGTCATCGCTCGCACCTGCAAAGGGAATTCAGGTGCGACCTTCGGAAGAGCTCAGGAGCAATGGTGAAACAAGAGTCACTGACAAAATGAGAGCGGCAGTAAGAAACTTAATTTGTTCCGCCCCCCGTGAGAACCCCCCGCCTTCGACACCGCTCCGGTGCCTCATACCATAGCCTCCTATATACACCAACTCATGTTTACAAACAAACCGGAGCGCCCGGAGCGCCCCTAGCGGACGCGCCCAGCGCCGCGCATGCGCGATGGGGGTGTGGGCAAAAAGCTCGCTGTCGCCCATAAACAAACCATTGAAATGCGATGTTGTCGGCGTCGGTGTGAGTCCCCCTGCCCTTTTTCGCGTTCGAATTGTTGGTTCTACGTCTTCCTGGCGATGTCTGACTACTTGAGCGGCGTCAGCGAAATTACCGAGGCTCGTTACACCGCAAAACTTCGCGTGAATAATGTGACATGTGGCGATTCATTCCGCGTGGACGCCGCAGATTGTACGCTAAAGCCTGATTCGCATGATGAGATTTCGCTCAGAATTTTCAGTCGTGACGCCGCTCGGGCTGCAAAAGCGTGAACCATAGCTGAGATGGTCGACGTCGATACTGAATATGTAAAGCAGAATCGGACCAACTGAATAGACATAACAACAAGTCGGTGTTGGTCACTGGTAACAATGACCAACATCTCCTTGTATCTACTGTTTACATCGAGCCTGCTTACCAACCTTCAAATTTAAGTCTTTTGAGGCCTGCACTTACTTCTTATCGCAAGTACCGGGCCAACATTTGGTCTACGGACCGCCGTCGTCTAAGAAAGCAGACGACAAGCAGAAACGTTTGAAAGAGCAGACGACAGTTCGAACAATCAGGCGGCCGTTTGAACTTAAAGACGCACTGAACGTAGTCCACAGGTGGTCCGCACAACTTGACAGTTTTCTGGCATCAATGTTGGAACAAAACAAATAAATCTGATGACCACAAGTATCCGTGAATTCAACCCAAACTGCTTCCTGCCCAAGCAATCGTTGTCCGACGGCGTCTGCTTTTCCCTTTTCACGGCACATATCCAGATTCTCGGACGAACCGAGCACGTGAGAACTGACCTTCAAACCTTTCTCGACACTTTTGGTACGGCCCCAGTCGCGGCGTTCTGACGAGAAGGCAGGTTTTTGTCTGGTTCCTTTCAAAACAACGCAGGAATCAACGAGGTAGAGGGGCTTAGAGTGATAAACCGGAAGTTCGGAAGTGGCACCCCCCCGGTTGCCGCCATATTTTACGCAAATGTGACCACTCGTCACGTGACCTCCCAAGAGCCGTGACGTCACAGGTAAGATGGCAGCGCCCAGAGCTGGCGGATGCGAGTTTGTTCGGTGCGCGGTAGCCGTGATGTGCAGCTGCTTTCCGACGACTTCGGGCTTCTTCGTGCTCGCTGACGCAGGTATAATGTGAAAATATGAAGGAATGAGACTTTATACCGTTTTTGCGCAAGATCGTTCTGGATCATCTGGATATTAACGCCTGTGAGACAGCATCAGCTCTGCATCGCCGTACCGGTGATCGGATTCCGAGATGTGTCCGAGGATCGAT